CACTCATATGACCGTTAGCGACGCACAAGTCATGTAGGCAAGCTTACACAACTTGACAAGCCTTGTAAATATATTAATCTCACCAAATAAATTATTTCCTTTATCATATACTAACAATGTTATATTATCAGAATTGCAAATTTAATTGCAAAATACTCAAAAATTCTTAACAAGAGATTTAAAATATATCTACAACACGTCTTAAAATGTAAACCCTCACACATTACACTATTTAAAGCTAATCAAATAGTATCCAAAGACCTCGACCAAAAAGAAGTTGATGTATACATCACTTTATTTAAAAACAGTAGACAATTTGACATTTAGATAGTCGAGTGACACAAGGGAAGTGCTATAAGATGGCAATTACTTATGCTTCCCTTCACCAAGGTTGCTCCAAATCTTTTGTTTAAATTAGACCTATAACCATGCCAGCATATTCACACTTCACATATTTGTGTGCCTTATCAAGTCTAAACATCACAAAATATAGCTACATGACCTATAGCACAACTACTAGGCCCCTCAACACACAAATATAACCATTCACACATCATATATATTCATATGGCATGTAACATAGGTTATGTGACCCTTAGTAAATCTCAAATCACCAATTCACATTGATAATCATTGATCATATTTCAAGTTTAAACATCTCAAAATATAGCCACATGACCTATAGCTCAACTATTAGGGCCCTCAGCACACAAATATAACAATTCACACATCATATATATTCATATGACATGTAACATAAGTGATATGGCCCTTAGTAAATCTCAAATTACCAATTCACATCAATAAGCATCAATCATATCTCAAGACCCAATCATATATATATATATATATTTGCTGCATATAAATTCTACACATCCTACACAAGGCATTTAAACACATATTTTTTATACTTATAATTCAGGTTACTAAACACCATTATTTGCGGATTCAAAAATTCAAGCATAATCACATTATTAGACTTGCAATATATAACTTAGCACATCATTCTCAAAGCTTTTCATGAATATTTCAAAAACCTTCAAATGTATACTCATGTACTACTGATAACTCTATTATATAGAGTTATTTTGACTCATTTTGGGAGCTTAAGT